TGGGCTCCTGTGTCTCTCTTACATCCAGAGTTCAAGATCTGAGGCTAAGCTTAATATATGGGCTTCAGACCATATGAAACAAAACCTCCCTGAAATTCATAAAAAATTTTCAAGGACCCATCATGACCCATTACAAAAGCAATTTTTGTTTTCATAATGTGAAATAGGATATGAAATTAAAACTTTTGGAGGTTTCTCCTAATATTGAGATATAATAATGTTGCTCTGGAAAAGTTTTTGTTCATGACTAAGTTTTAAATTAATCCTATTAGCAACACAACACTGACTCTGTATAAAACACTACATTAATAAAGAGAGAATAAAAACGTATTTTATGTAAAATAAGAGACAGTTCTTATGAGCTATACATTATACAACACTTATATCTAAATAAATTATGAGTGTTTCCATTGTAAATATTTCAAATTTTAAAACTCATCCCTTTAAATTTCCAGATTTTAGTTCATTTTAAACATGTCTTTTCTTTCTGCAATTTAAATGTGTTTAAGCCCCAGGGAGATAGCTCAGTAGAATAGCACTTGCCTGGCAATCACAGAGTCCTGAGTTCAATCTCCAGTAATGCAAAAAAAATAAAAATAAAATAAATGTGTTTAAGTGATTTCTTTTTATGTACCACATCATGAGAATCCATCATTTCTAGAAAATCATGACCCATTTTTGACTTCAATGTTACCTCTTCCCCAAGCTCTTTATTTTCCCCTTCTGGAATTCCTACTTTCTAGCTCTATGACTCTTATTAATGTTAATATTTTCCATTCCTTTATATATCTGTATATTGGACATTATCATCAGTTATGCTATGTCTAATCTGCATTTTAACCCTTTCCCTGTGCTTCATTTTGAGAGTTATTTTTTATTTTATAGATGTTTCTTTTTTTTTTTTAATATATTTGGTACAGTGTCTCACTCTGCAGCTTGGACTCATAGTGATCCTCTATTTTCAGCCTCCCCAGCGCTGGGATTACAGGCACAGTCCACCATGCCCAGTCTTGGTGCTAGCTCAGTGCACCCGAGGGCGGGGGTGATGCAACATCCACTATTGTGGATCGAACCCCAGTCCCTGTGCTTGCCTAAGCACGTGCTTCGTCCACTGAGCTATCTCACCAGTCCTGTATTAACCTTTTTTATTTTTTTTCTTTTTCTTAGAATTTTTATGCATTCTTTTTATATTGTCAATATTTTATATATCCTTATTTTATATTCTTTTTCATGTTACTATGCTGCCTTATGTTCCTAAGAATCCAATACTAGAGCAGGCCAAATAGCTCAGTGGATGAAAGCACCTGCTAAGGCAGATGCAGGGGCCAGGAGTTTGATCCTGGGGCGGCTGCGCTGGCCCTGCCCCGGGGATGTGCTGAGACAGCGATTGAGACTGGGCGTGGTGTCACATGCCTGTAATCCCAGCACTTGGGAGGCTGTAAACAGAAGGATCACTACGAGTCCGATCTATGCAGTGAGACCCTGAACACCCTGTAGACTCTGCTCTAAATACAAAAACAAAAACAAAAACAAAAAAAGCAATAAAAAAAAAAAAGGTTCCAATACTGATGTTATATCATGCAGTGTGTCTTTGGCTGACTCTCTTGGTGTGTTCCTTCATTAATTAGAGTGAACGTATCTTTAGTAGGGCTTGCTTATCCATGAGAATCTTAAGCAGTTTAAATAGTTGGGGCTATCATTGGTTAGAGTTTTGCATTCCACTCTTCTAGGGTCCCATGGTAGGTTTTAGCTTGAGGGAGAATAAACAACAGAAGCAAACGTCACACAACCGGCAGCCCCCACAATGAAATTCTCAAGGCACGATGTCTGCTCAGCAGGATGGAGGTTCTCACTTCCCCGTCCCACAGGTTAGTGAAGTAAGGGATCTGGTTGGATGCGAGGGATGTCTCAGCCCAGTTCTCCGCTCGCTTTGAAATGAAACCTTGGCCTCCTTTGTCTCGAGTGGCTGCTGGACTCCACGCTCATTGGTCCCTGAGGACCAGCACTTCCCAGTGTAGCCACAGTGTCACTTCAGATCTGCACCCTGGCTTGGATGTTCTCTGCTCCTGGCCTGAGTAGCCTTTTGATTATTTTGAGAAGCGAAATTTTTAAACCATTTAAAATATTTTATCCAATGTTTCTAGGTCTTGTAATAAGGTTCCTAGAGATCATCTTTGCCTGCTGTGTCACCAGCGCTTCCACATAACTGTCTGCCAAGTTATGTACAGTCAGTCAGTCCTTCCCTAGCAAAAGGCTGCGCTAGACCATGTGTCAAATTTTGAGACCTTAGAAACCTTACTCTGTGTGTGTGTGTGTGTGTGTGTGTGTGTATTTGTGTGTGGTGTATGTGTTTCTTCCTCATGTTTAAAAGTAATGGACTAGAGGAGCATTTTTAAATTTTAAATAAACAAACTTGGGCTTAGCTTCTCGGACCTAGGTAGGGCATGGATTTCTCTTGCTAACCACCTCTGAACATTGATTATAGTTAGGGCATTAATTGATGCTCATTAAACATTGGTTATAGGAAAAGATGTTAATTGAAATTGACACTTTAGGAAAAGAAGAAAACTTGAATCTTTTTCTTCTAAGCATGCCTTCAACGTATTAAAAAATATACTATTAAGGCCTAAAAATATCTAACTCCTCTCAAATACAACAGTTTGGCACACTTTTCAGTAATGAAATCTCTATGTAAAAATTCTTTTACAAAAGCAAACTGCAAAACAGAATTATTCAGCAAGAGTTAGGAAATTTATAGCACAGAAATGGCAACTTACAAAGACATGAGATCTTATAAGTGAAAATCTCCGTGATTTGAGAAAATGGCTATACCATGCCTAAGTACATGGTGACTGCCACTGTTACAAATAATACTCCTCCCACTCTGAAGAAGATACAGGAAATTGCTTCAATAACAAGTCAGAAACATAGGGAAGAGTTTATTTGTACTCTTTATCGAGAAGAATAGTTTTGTTTAGCTTTGTTTTCATACATTATAGGTGCTAAAGTGCTGTTGTTTATTGCTTAAAGTTGTAAAGTTTCTTGATTGTTCAACTATAAAAAGCTAAAGACGCTGTCAGAGAAAACAGTAGACAAAAAGTAACCATAGATGTTTTGGAAATAATATGTTCTGATAAGACCAAGACCTATTTCTGGAGAATGCTTCCTTATATTTATTACAGTACCTGCAACATTATGAATTGAAACATGTCAAAGAATTTCTGTGCACTCCTCTATTGCTGAGTTCACTCCAGTAAGAGCAGCACAAGATCCCTGAATAAAGGGAAGAAAATATGTATTCCCCAAGCAACAGATAATGCAAGAGACTACAGATTTCCTTTAGGCAGTAAGACACATTTGAAGAAGACATTGGGAGAAGTTTGCAAGAAAGCTTGAAATTATCACTTCATTTAGCCTCGCTACTGGCGCATTACCACAAGTATTAAAAGCAAATCATTTTCCTCAGACAGAAAAACAAGTGATTGTGGAGAATACAGAATGAAATAGAAAACTTTTGTTTATGAGATAACCTATTTTAAAAAAACAACAATATTGCTTCTTTTGATTTCATTTAGCTAGCAAATAAAGCTACCAAACATACTATCTTCAGGCTTAAGAGAACTCAGTTCAAAGCCAATTTTAAAAAGCCCATCTATGTTTTCATTCTAACCTGTACATTCAAAGCAAATCTGAAAACAGCTATATTCAGAATATCCAGGATTAACTGTGTTCTTCCTGTTACTATTTTTCTTGCTGCTCAATCTGATCCGTGGGCTAGAAATCTCCACATGATGGGAGAGATTGTTAGAAATGGAAAGCCTCAGATGTACCTATGACCTATTGCATTTTAACAAATTCTCCGTGTGATTTATGCTTTTAAAGCTTAAGAAGACATCAAAATGCTTTCTAACTTAACATCAAGTATAAGACTTCTTTTGGGAACGATGAAAATGTCCTGGAATTAGATATTAGTGCTGCTTCCAAATCGCAATAGATGCATTAAACAACACTGCGCTGCAGAACATAGATGGGTGAATTCTAGGATAAGTGGCTGCTATCTTACTTTTTTAAAAGAAGGAAAGATACATTTATACTAATGCTTTAATAGTCTGTTTGATTTGTCCCGAACGTAGATGAATGGAATCAGCTCCAACGTTTTTCTTTTATCTTGGAAAAACTTAGATTTACAGTTTCCTGGGCCTCAATTCTTACTGCAAAAGGGAGCTACCTCAGGCTTTGGCTCTGGGCAGCACTAATCCAGGCCCCAAAGGGCGTGGGCCCTCATCCCGGGGTCTGCTGGGTGCAGGGCAGAACCCACACACACACTTGGAGCTGGGGAGGACGACGACCCGAGAAGGGCCTTTCTGGGGAAACAGCTTGGGGGGATCTGACAGGTCAACAAACCTGACTGCCCAGCTCAGAAACTGGGCCAGGAGGCAGACATCTCTGCCAGCCGCAGGGTGGTCACAGCCTGCGGGACAGTGAGGACTTTCACGCCTTCCCAGCACTCGCTCCCACTCCTTAGGAAAACCAGTCCCTAAATAAAGGCTGGCGACTATTGGGAGGCCCTGGGCACGCCCGGAGCGCCCTCGGTCTGCGGCTCCCATCTCGGACGCCTCGGGAAAGCTTCGCGCCCGCCACCTGCGGAAGCCTCTTGGTGGCACTTCGCTGTCTCCATCCCAGGGCCACGCGGGGCAGGCGGGGGACGGGAGCTGGGGGAGGGCTCCCCGCAGCCCCGCAAGCCTGCACCCGAGCTTCGTGCTCCTCTCGAGACCCGTCACCCTCCCTCCTGCAGAACGCGCTCGCTCGGGGACTCGCGCTGCTGCCCGCCTGCGCCCAGATCGATCCGACCCGGCCTCTGGGGGACGGAGCGGAACCGGCCATCTGGCCAGCCCGAGAGGGGCGGGCGCCCCACTGTGCCGGACAAGCCCCAGCCGGCCCGGGCAGCCCCGAGGCGGCCCTCGCCCCCTCCTCCATCCCGCCCGCCCGCCCGCACTCACGGGCCGGGGCAGCAGCCGTCGTCCGCCGGGCCCGCGTGCAGGAGGAGGCAGTCCCGGCTGTCGTGGCGCCGAGCGCCGGCTCCCGCGGCCGCCCGAGAGGGGCGGGCGCCCCACTGTGCCGGAC